AATGCTCTGATCTGCTGTGTTTCGGAACTCCGGCACCAGTGGACAATTTCATGCTGTGATAAATTAAATTTAAGTGATAATGGTGGAATGTCCTCGCTGTGGAGTTGTGAATGTGGGCCAAGGGTGCAGTGATGAGTGGTGGAGTGTGCCAAAATAGTACTGGTCATCCTATAACATTGCTGGATAAAGCAGCTTGTGCCTATAGACAATAACATGCATGCTCAGTACATGTAGATGACAAGATTGGTGAAGGCCATGTATAGTTGCTCAGAGAGTTTGGGAGGATGATTTGTTTCTGTGTGGTTCTGGGTAACTGCTCAGGTGTGCTGTGCCCGGCTACATCCATTTCCAACGGTACCATTGGAGAGGCGAATCTCAAAGTTAAGGTTAGACCCACCTGTGACGCAGGATACACTGCTGTTGCCAACGCTACCTGTAAAAACGAAGGATGGAGTTGGAAAAAGGAGCCATGCCAATCAGGTAAGTGCAATGTCATGTATGTTCAGAGAATTGGAAAGCACACAAGCTCGTTCCCTGGGCACTGCAAATTTATAACTCACTTCATTCCACAGAATCTTGTTCGACACTTCGGCAAATTGCCATCTTCAGGATGAAATAAGGCAATAGGGAAGGAGCATTTGTGCTCACCAATTCTCTTTTAAGTTTATAAGCTGCAGCATAACTCACCCCTATTACGGGTATGTACATGAATGTTGCTTTGAAAAACTTGAATCTGACACTGATTTTACCTTTTTTACCTTGATAATCTGTTTTCACAAGAGAGGTTTCAATATGGGTGGAGTTCGCTCCAGGTGGCGTCTGAACGTGCCCTGGACACAGATTGACCACTCCGTGTTCATATTGCTTTGCTTTTGTACTGGGTTGATATCTTCAAGAAGCTTGAAATCTTCAACCAGCTTGAGATGCAAGAAATGCACTACCGCATGTACGTGCAAGCACCCATTTCCGGCTACCATTGAACAGCATTGCGCAGGAAAAGGTCACGCAAATGTAGTTACTCCGCAATGTAACCGTAGAAAAGAAATGTTGTTGGCAGAATTCTCTCTTGGTCAACCGAATCCATGTAGTTGTAAACAAAAATTTTCAGCAGTACTGATTCTCAACGGGGTTAGAGCTCGACCCAGGCCTACACTTCTCATGTGAAAACACAGCTCTGTTCATAAATGCACGAGTAGTGAAGTCTGCTGGATAGATTGACTTGGCGGGAAGAGGGGGGGGGGGGCGGGACGGACAGGGCAATCTTTCTCTCAGGGTGCACTTGCATATTCTTACTTGTAAAGCACAAGACGCTTGTTCTGATGAGCAAATGCCCAGTCAGCTTTTCAGGCACAATCTTCCGCAGCCTACTCAAGCTCAACTGATGAGGGGTGAATTCCCCGAAACACCGTGTATTGAGCAGGGAGTGGTGCTTTCTTGCAGGTTTGCCGAGTGGAAGGTGCGACGTGCTCCTCGTGTGCTCCGGATGGCAGTCGTGAGTCAGTCAAGTGTCAAGTTCGGCAAGAAGCGTGTGTTCCTAGTTGGAACAATCAACTTAATAATAATAATGTGGACACAATTGGGTGAACTCACCCATTCCACAATACTCTGCAGATTTCCGAACCATTCCATTATATACAACGACTACCTGAAGAAGGCCATTGGCCGAAACGCTGTGTATAATAGAAGGGTTCTGAAATTTGCAGAGTATTGTGGAATGGGTGAGTTCACCCAATTGTGTCTACTATGAAACTGCAGGAAGCTTCCACACTTCTTCTCAATCATATTGTGATTTCTTCTTTTTTATATTCTATTTACTGGCTCAGTATCCGAGTTAGCATGAATTATTAATTGTTGGCTCTACATCCAACTCTATCAATCGTAAGGTTTCTAACATGGCATTAATGGCATCGTTGTGTTTTCGTTTCTGTGCTTCACCTTCATTGCAGTTGCCTCTCTGCTTAACGGCACCACTGACGAAACGGTCACCACTGGCGCACAGCATCACGTAGGCGGACAGAGCAGCGCGGAAAGTTTGTTGGTGACTCTGGGTTTGGGTCACCTGCTCATCCTCACCGCTATCCAACTGTTTCTTGTCTAGTGCCTCCTTGGCTTAGGTTAGAGCTACCCTGCAATGGATTTTCTCATTTGCTTGCATTCTCGCCCAAACGACTAGTGACCCATCCAATGTATTTTCTCATTTGCTTGCATTCTCGGCGAATTTTTCGCCCAAATTGCTAGTGGCCCATGCATTTCCATGCCTATTGTAGCATATACATTATACTTGATTGAAATAGAGACTTGTCCATCTCATGCGCAATCATGTGCACATCTTTGCTGCTACTCTCAATGCAAATTTCCTCAAAGAAGTTCTGCATGTCTTTGTTTGCAGCTGCTTCTGCTGCTGTCACCATCCTGGCCATCGTGTCTCCGCTGTTCGGCCACAACATGCAATCAGCTCTTTAGATCTGTAAATGCCGCGTATCAATTATTCTTTTATTCCACGGTGGCGTGACGCCAATAAGGACGGTTGATAAGTGTGATAGGACTGGTACTAGCCAGAAACAGCTGGATGGAAATTAACCGGGAGGCAAGAAGCAATGGATCAGGAAAAGCAAGCGGGGGCAATAACGTTAGCAGGGGTGATCGAGATAGTTAAATACACGTTCGAGATATCAGAAACCAGGGGATGCGCGGATCAGGAACAGGTATTGCTCAAAAGAAGACTGGATGCATTGTTTCGGAAAGAATTTCTACGAGGTTGGGTTGTGATGTCGATAGGGAGTGAGTTGTAGTGGGTGTGGGCACTGTTGATGAGGGAACCTCGGTGCCTGTTTGTGTGTGCGTATCCGATGGAGTAGGTCATTGTCTGTCGAAGGGTGTAGTGACTGTATGGCTGGTGTTGACGCTGTGGGCAAGATGTGGTTGTTGCAGGTGTGGTGGTCAGGTTTGGTGGTGGATGTCCCATGCTAGTAGGGCTTGTTTAACAAGTAGTCGTGAGCTGAGGGGGGGGGGGGAGCTTTGCGTGATGGAGGAGGGAACTGTGGTGAACTGGTGCAAAGAGGGGAATCCGAAGGCAGATGCGTATAGCACGGCGCTGAATTCTCTCCAGTGTGATTATATGCATTCTATCTACTTGTTTGAAGTATAGCCGACTCTCGATTCAACTTTAAGTTTCAGTTCCCACGTTAACTCCCTCAGGGAAGACATCGGAAAGAAACTAGGTGCTTTTCGACGTGGAAGGAGGAACCTTGCTGTCCAGACCAGAAGGCAGTTCTACTTGTCAGTAGTCCAGAGCAAGCTCGAGTACACCAGCACTGCCTACGTCCACTGCCTCGCTGGCAATGTGAGAGATCAGCTGCTACGCATAAGTAAGAGAGCACTTAGATGCATATTTGAGCATGACACATTCACCCGGACATCATACTTGCTTGAGCGATACCACATAATTAGCTTAGACAAAAGATATCATACTAAGTCCATATTCTTCGTGTTCCGTTGCATCCACAATATCTGCAGTTCACTCCTCTCTGACATGTTCTCCCTTCGCCGTGACTGCACTTACACAGATAGAGTAACCCGCGGTCAAGTCAATTATTCCCTTTCCTTACCCATTGTGCAAGCTCAAGCTGGATACAGATCTATTTCATTCCTTGGTGCTGACCGCTTTAATGCGCTTCCCGAATCCCTTCGCACAAATCATATCCCCAATTCATTTCGCCAGGAACTTAACAATTTCATTCATCTTGGGCACCCTGTAAGAAGACCTTAGGGTCTGTTGGGAATGCCCAAGTAAAAATACAATACAAAAAAATAGCCCATGAGTTAGGATATAGCCATCTTGATATTTGGTAAGCATCACCGTCATCTTCCCTAGAAGCTAGTAATGAGGACCGATAATGATTTTTAACATGTTCGTCTCGACATCCGATGTTGGCGTGTTGCTCTGATTTTCCATTTCTCACCAGAACTTTGCTCATGATCAGTTGGAGCAGGGAGTTCACTTCATTTCATTTCATTTTGACTTTATTTGAAGGATTCTCCAAATGTAAATGGATACTTATCGGGGGAGTTTCCTGGAAGGGTGGATGAGACGAAAGGGAAGTGAAAAGGGAGAAGGGAAAATAGTACTTAGCAGAAACACTGCTCAGGGAAAACTACAGGTAAAACCACCAGGGAGAAACAGAATACATGACGAGAGCTAGATACGAAAATCAGGAATACCTACCGCAGCCCAGCCAGGCTCTTCAGCAATGGCGAGACCATCCTCTCGTGTGAGGGGACAACCCAAGGTGACTCGCTCGCAATGCCCATGTACGCCTTGGGTACGGCCCCCTCATCCGTGAGGCTTCCATTGCTGAAGCTCTGCAGTCCTGGTATGCAGATGACTCTGCCGCAGCAAGCACCATTAAGCGCCTGAGGAAGTGGTGGTCCATTCTCGTGGACCGGGGTCCATTGTACGGGTACTTCACAAACGCGACGAAATCCGTCCTTCTTGTGAAGCCACAGCATGAGCCCGAGGCGAGGAAGCTCTTCTCCGACACGGAGGTCCAAATACGCACTGATGGGTTTCGTCATCTTGGCGCGGTCCTTGGTACTGAGGAGTTCTGCAAAACCTACGTGTCAACCAAGGTTCAGAAATGGAGTCACGAGATCAGTGTGCTCTCCCAGTACGCCCTCAGCCACCCACAAGCGGCATACACGGCTTTCTGCAATGGTGTTAAGCACGAATGGTCATTTGTCGCTCGCACCATCCCGGTGACAGGTCCGCTGTTCGAGCCCATTGAGGACGCCGTACGTCTTCAGCTCATCCCCGCGCTTACCGGCCGGTGTCCGCCTGGTGACCAAACCAGGGCCGTACTGTCATTGCCCTGCAGACGTGGTGGATTGGGTCTCATCAACCCCACTCATCTTGAGGACCAATTCCGTCAGTCCAGCATCATCACCCAACCTTTTGTCGACAAGATCCTCAGACAGGAGTCCAACAACGGCGGAGTTTGAGTGGCTATGCAGCTCTTGAAGTCAGAAGTCCGAAAGGAGTCAACGCAACAGGCCAATGAGCAGATGGCTGCACTGCTTCAGCAACTGGACCCAGACATCCAGTATGCCGTGAGCCTCGCGTCAGAGAAGGGTGCCTCGAGCTGGCTAACATCCAAGCCACTTGCAGTTTTCGGCTTCAAGTTGCACAAGGGGGCGTTTCGAGACTCCTTATGCCTCCGATATGGATGGACGCCGGATCATCTCCCGACAACGTGTGCATGTGGAAAGTCGTTCACGACCACCCATGCCCTGTCCTGCTCGCTGGGCGGCTACCCCTCTCTCCACCACAACGAGATTCGGGACATCACGGCCCACCTTCTCCGGGAAGTTGCCCATGATGTAGCCGTCGAACCCCATCTCCAGCCTCTCTCGGGGGAACACTTCCCCTTGAGATCTACCATCACCGACGACAACGCGCGCCTTGATATCGCAGTCAGTGGATTGTATGGTGGACGGTTTGAGAGGACATTCCTTGATGTCCGGGTTTTTAACCCATTTGCCCCCTCAAACCAGAAGTCATCAATCCCGGCAGTATACCGCAAGCACGAAAAGGAAAAGAGAAGAAGTTATGAGAGAAGAGTCGTTGAGGTAGAGCATGGATCATTCATCCCGGTCGTGCTCAGCACCACAGGTGGTCATGGCAAGGCAGCCGGCAATCTCTACGCTCGGATTGCATCCATGTTGGCCGATAAGAGGTCCGAGCCTTTCTCTATCGTCATGGCATACATCCGCACTCAACTGTCTTTTGCACTGGTCAATGCCGCAGTCACAGCCCTGAGAGGTCACTGGCACAAAGCGTCAAGAATCAATGGCTGCCCTTCGATCACGTTAGCAGTGGCATAATGCAGCATGTAATGGTCAATCCTTGATTTAGTTTGGTAATCGTTTACCTCGAACCCCGTGCTGAATTTGATACAGTTTCTGGTATCTTGGCCGTAGACTGCTACGCATGCTGCTTCTAGTTGTATCTTTGCATTTTACTGATTGATTACTAGTATACTGTATTTATTTATTATTATTAGTAGCAGTTAAAAATTCGACGAGGAGACAATAATTTTAAAATGGCAATAAGTAGGACGAGCTGAAGCGACATGTGGACTACTTTATTAACAATGTAAGCGATGGAGACGATGCAAGAAACAACCTAAAGGGTAAGGAAAAATACATGTAAGAAGAAAAAGGGCAATGGAAAAAAAAAGATGATTCGAACACGTTTTCGTACAACACTAGACATCCTTAGCAAAAGTACGATAACGCTAACTGTTACGGTACTCACTCCCAGCCGTGACAAAAGACGTTATCGGATAACGGAAAAACGTTACAGAGCTCAAAATAACGGGCCGACGTTCGTTATGGAAATTCTGCAAAAAATGCAAAAACTCGCATTGTTTTGTAACTGGCGGGAGATAAAAAGCACGTCGTGCAGATCGAGATGAGATCGAGAGTCGAGATTGCTTCCTCTTGTGACATTTAGCTTTTTTGGCGAGTTTTGCCTTTCAGTTGACAATTTCTGCGTTTTCTGCTTCGTGCCTTTCTCCCTCTATCCCATCTGGGAAACAAAGGACCAGTTCCACGGCACTCCTGAGGAAGAAATTCATCGGCCTCTCCCAGACGTGCTGGAGCTGGAGAACCCTTACAGTCTTCGGTGCTGCGTTTAGGAAAGGGTTTCCAAGGACCTGGGAACAGCGAAAACTCATTTTCGCCGTGCTTTTGCTATTCCAGAGTAAAAGACCTCGCCAAGGTATTCTTTCGGAACGACAGCAAACTAATCCCTGGTTCAAAATTTTGAATTTCCCGTATCTGTTTCCACGAAAATTCATATCGCCATGGTTGTCACGACTACTTCGTCTCAACTATAACGTACTTTGTGCTAAGGGAAAAGTCAGCTTGAACGATCCGAAGTACGGAAAGGTTTGCGTTTACGTTAGCGTTTTTTTAGCTAAGGATATCTACTCTTCAGGAATCACCGTTGCACTGAAGAACAAAATGTCCACATGTCGCTTCAGCTCGTCCTACTTATTGCCATATTAAAATTATTAGTAGTATTATTATTACAATTTGAAACTCGGGTATTGAGCCAATAATAAAAGTAGAAAGGAAAAGGACATATGGAAACGAGTTAAGAGTAACTCTCCACCACTGTAACTAGATACTATATTATTATTATTATTATTATTATTATTGTAGAAAGGAAACGGACATATGGATACGAGTTAAGAGTAACTCTCCATCACTGTAACTGGATACTATTATACAGTCAGAAAGTCCAATAACTAGGCACAAAACTGACAAGAGTACTGAGACATTCGACGTCATGACACCTAGCTTGAACACATCTCCGTAGCGCCAACCGACAGCCTTCCAACTTATTATTATTATTATTATTATTATTGTCTCTGCTGGGATGACGACTACACCATAGCTCAGTGGTTAGAGCATCGCTGGCTACAAGCGAGGGTCCCT